GATGTCTTGAGACCAGGCATGCAGCCGGGAACAAAGATCTTTGGAGAACCTAACCAGCTTTGTGGGGATGGGACACATCTGCCAGTTGTCAATTATTACAAAAATTTATGCTGTAGTTGTTGTTGAGAATATACACAGCTGAACACACCAATTCAGCAGCTTCTACACGTACAGCTGAGTGACACTAACACTCCTTGGGTTGTGTGACCATTCTCACCGTCCTTTCCAGAACTGCTCCACCATCGACATCAACTCAGTGCCTTCTAAGGTTCCTAGCTAATCTTTCCAGGTGCTGTTACCATTGGATCCCACACAGGTAACTCTTGAAAGAGCATTAATGCTCAAGGAAGACATTTCTTACTAGTTAAACTAAAGTTGTAAGACTTCAGGGGTATTACTGATTTAACAATAATCTCAGGGCAAGAGTTTCAAGGATTCATCCACCTTTCATGGCTTCAGAAAATTTAGTGTCCATGAAATTTTCAATTCTGTTCTGCATTTCCCCCCTTCTGATCAAGATTCTTCTATGGAATCTTTGATCAAAACGTTCAGTAATGGTGGCCAGGCACCATCCAGCTCCTCTGGTCTCATGACAAAGGAGGTGGTTGTTCATGGAGGCAATTAGCCACATGTTCTGGTTACCGAGTGCCGCTCTGATAAGAATATACCACAAATGGGATGGCTTAAACAAACAGTAGTTTATTCTTACACTTTGGAGGCTTTAAGTCCAAGTTCAAAGTGCCAGGCTCTAGGGGCTGGGTGAATGCCCCTCAACCTTGGGGTCCAGCTCTGCCTCCTGCTCCTGGCCCACTGGAGCTGGAGGCATTTCTTCACTCAGACAGCTGCTGGCTGCTGAGGCCGAGAAACCCCAAGGTTGTCAAGTAAAAAGGCACAGTTCCGATGTTATCAAACCACATGGCAGGCCCTTAACTTAAGTCCCAAGGTCAACAGAGCATAGCAGGCTGCTGAGCAACAACATGGCTATACGCAGGGTCCAAGCGTGCCATAGGCTAGAGGCCATTCTCAAAGCTTCTTATACACAGGACGCAAACCATATACCCAAAGGCAGCTACTCAGCTGCTCCCAGTAGATTCCACCATGGAGTTGATTATCAGTCTCATCATGGGGAATACTATATCCAGCTGCCCAGCCACTCAACCAGGCCTAGCCAAGTTGACATACAAACATAACCATCACACCACATATTCCATATCCTCCTCCTATCCGTGACTCTCTTACTTCCTCTGCTGTTGCAGGTGAATAGAGACCAAATGTTGACTTGGCTGGTCATTTGCAAGCTTTTTTTTTTCAAATTGTGATTTGGGTGGAAGTTTACAGAGCAAATTCACTTTCCATATAGCAGTTCACAACACATTATCTTATGACATTGACTACAATTTACCCCAACGCAACAGCTCCTCTTTCACTTCCTCCTGATAGTTACCTCTTCCCTGTGTCCATCCCTTCATGCACTCCTGCCCCTTGAGCTGTCTTCCTGTACATAAATAGCCCTTCTTTCTCCCATGATTGTTCTCTTCAAGGAGTGTGTTCTATCTCAGGCACATGTTCAACTCTTTATGCTTGTCTTTTGTTTGGCTGGAAGCCACAGGTGTGGGTTCAATTCCAGACCTGAAGGGCAGCTAGGGGTCACAGTCTCAGGCGTTCCACCAGGTTCTATCAGACCAGCAAACCTGGTCCCCCCGCTTTTTATTTTCCAAATGATCTAGAGTATTTTTCCACATTGTTCTCCCTCTCTATCCAGGATCTCCTCCATAGATTCCCCCCGAGTGGTTGACAGTGGTAGCTGAGCACCATCTAGTTCTTCCGGTCTGTCATATAGGCTGAGGATCGCATGGTGTACCAGTCACAAGGACTAAATGTTTCCATGAATCTTTGGTTTTCTTCATTCTTCTTTGCTCTGGATGAGAAGAGACCCATCACTGCATCTAGATAGCTCCTGTTTGCAAGTTTTTAAGATCCCAGTCACTACTCACCAAACTAGGAGGTGGAACAGTTTTGTGTAGTATGTTATGCCAATTGAGCTCGATGTCTCCTGTGACTGTGGTCCCGAGCCCACATGTTCAACTACTCGCTCCCTCTGGGTAGCTGGCTGTGACCAAGAAGAGACTAAAACCTCGTCCCTTGTCAGCTCTACTACCCCCCTGGGAATTCTTACAGAACATACAAATACACTTGTAGAACCATTGTCTGCCAACTGTATGGTCTTGGGTACACTCCCTGCTGCAGACATACCTAGTAGTTCAGCCTCTCCACCCATCTATCCACATGTATACCTGTGTTCATTTGGAAGCTGTTAAGACTCCAGGTACTATGCAACAAAGTAGGAGGTAGGACAGAAGCACTTAACATGTTATCAGGCCAGTTACATGGGATGTCCCAGCAAACTATGATACGAAACCTCCAAACCAAGGAACCAAAGCTCATGAGGTATTTGGATGTATATAAACATCCTCAGCAGCTCCTTTTTTGGGTCATTGTTTTAAGTGCATCTATCGCACATTTACCAATCCAGCTTTCTACAGGTGTGTAACTTATTGACAGCAATTACAATTGGCTGTGCAACCCTACCCTTCATTAATGTGGTTTTTCCATCACTGTTAACCCCCATTTTCCTGCTCCTCTTGCCCCTGGTAAACACGGATAAACTTTGGTCTCTATACGTTTGCCTTTTTATACCCGTGAAGTCACACAGTGTTTGTCCTTTCGGATTGGTTTTATTTTGCTCAGCATTCTGGATGAACATCGTATGCAAGTCTCTGAGCCTCTGCTTTTAAGTCTTCTGGGTACGTAACTAGGAATGGAACTGCAGCGCCCTATGGTAGCTCCATTTTTAGTTTTCTGATATTGCCACACTGTCTTCCACAATGGCTGTATCATTTTCCATTCCCACCAGCAATCGGTAAGGGTTCCAATTTCCCCACACCCTTGTCAACATTTGTTATTTTCAGTTTATCTTAGCCATACTAGTGAGAGTGTAGTGGTACTGCATTGTGGCTCTGGTGGCACAGTGCCCAAGGCATTTGACTGCTAATCAGAGGGCTGGTAGTTCAAATCCACCAGCCACTCCTCAGAAAGAAGGCTGGGCAATCCACTTCCTAGTACACTGCTTCAGAAATCCAAGGAGGGGTCGCCATGGGTTGGATCTGACTCTACAGCAGTGAGTTTGGTTGTTTTTCGGTTTTGATGGCTAATGACACTGAGGATCTTTTCATGTGTTTGGTGGCCATTTGAATGTCTTCTTGGCGAAATGCTTATTCAAGTTCTTGGTCCATTTTATGATTGGGATGTCTTTTTTATCATGAAGTTCTCCGAGTTTTATATATATTTTGGTTATTCTCATCAGACATATGGTTTCTGAAGATAACCTCCCAGTAGCAGCTTGTCTTTTCACTACTTTGGTCAAGTCTTTCATGAAGTCTTTAATTTTCATGAGGTCCCATTTACTTGTTTTGTCTTTTGCGGTTTGTGATTTTGTTATTTTTAGTTTGTACGTTTAGGTCCTTAGCACATTATTTATTTTTATGTCTACCTTCTTTTAATTAACATGCATATTTCTGATACAATTCACATACCATAAAAATTCACCCTAAGTGTACAATTTGACAATTTTAGAATATTCTCCTCATCCAAAAAGGGTATTAGTCTGTTGTTTTCTTTTCTTGTGCTGTCTTTATTACGTTTTGGTGTCAGGGTGACACTGACTTTAAGGAATGAGTTGGGGAGTGTTCTTCTATTTTGGGGAAGAATGTGTGTAGGATTGGTTTATTTTAAAATGTTCAGCGTCTTTGATAATAAAGGCATCTAGGCCTGGGGTTTTCTTTGTGGTACATTTTAAAATTATTAATTCAACTTCTTCACTTGTTATTGCCATTTGCCTTTTAATCTGCTTTTATGTAGAACCAAAGGTTACAGGAATATTGTCTCCCAAGGTCAGTAAAATTCAAGAAGAAAATACATGCTAGCAGGGAAGATACTTTTGGAGTTTGGAAGATTCACATACAGCTACCAAAATTATCCAATAGTACCTTGATTCTTAAGCTTTGCTGACTACCTTTAACATAGACAAGCATTTCATCTGTGGTTTCTACTTAGCAAGATGACCTTATGAACCAGAAATGTCAACCTGAACTATGCAGGATTTTCAAGTAAACCTCTTAACTGACATTTACAGCAGACCTATGATTACAAACTACAGTTTATACATTCCTTGAGGTCATATACAGATATGTGTACCAATCACATACATATAAAAACATATCTACAAAAATGTTGTTGGCTGCTGTCAATTCCTGCTCACAGTGACCCTAGAGGACAGAGTACAACTGCTCCAGAGGGTCTCCTGGGCTGTTATCTTACGGAGGGAAACTGCCACATCTTTCTCCCATGGGTGTGAACCACTGACCTTTCAGTTAGCAGCCAAGGACTTAACCACTGTGGCATCAGGGCACCTTACCAAAATAGTACCTATCGTGGACCCTATCAGGGAGGCAGGGCGTGTAGTGAATAAACACTGGGACAGCACCCAGAGGCCTCAGTTCTGGCGCTGCCTCTGCCTCAGACACAATGCTTCCACTTGTTTCTTCCACTGATACAATTAGGTTCAGTCTGATGATCACCAAGTTCACTCTGGTTCTAAAAACACAGTGACTTGCTCCATAGCCATGCCATCCCCACTGCTCTTCAGAGTGGTCATAATGAAAACATTTTCAGTACATAATATATAAACACACCCACACCCATGCTTCATTCTTAAAGAGCAAATCAACCAATTCAAAAACATCTTAGAAGAGAAGAGGAGGAAGTCTGTGGCTAAAAGTACAATCCCAAGATCTCAAAGCGGACGCTCCCGAGCTTGTTATGGAACCACTGTTATGCATTCTCTTGGTCTGTGGACACGTGTTCCTCCTCCACACTGCCACTGTACAGCTCTGTTGCACGTGAGGCATCTAGTGCTATGCTAACTTTCAAAAGCGAGGAGATCACTTTTCAGAAATTCTGAGCCTGTCAGAGAAACTGAACGGTATTTCATCAGTTGTCTCTACAGGGATGTTACTTCTACCAAACTGGGATGAATAATGGTGGGCATGGAAACTTGAAATAAATGGGTCTGGGGTCCGACTACAACGACAACTATCTGACGGCACAGCGTGACCTGAGTTGCCAGCATGTGAGTGGTAAACATCATGGAATGAATCCTGAGAAGAACAATAGTGTCCAGCTGCCCCCTGGCTGGATGCAGGGCTCTGGTAAGGGCCATTTGACATGAGACAAGTTTGAAAGGACGTCTTCCTTCCTAAACCTCGATGAATGTCTAATTTAGCAATGAGAGGCTTCCCGACATTCACTTCCTGCTTTTCCTCTACAGTCTCTTCCAATCCTGAATACTGGTACGACAAACAAATTGTGAAGACCAGATGTTCCTGAAAAAGAAGAGAAACGAAGTGTGTTGCTTTTTATCTATAGTCAAAGTGTGCTGCTGTTAGGTGCCTCTGAGTCAACTGTAACTCACACTGACCCCATGTGACAGGGTTTTTAGGCTGTCTTCTTTACAGAAGCAGACCACCTCATCAGGTGTTTCTCCTGCAGAGCGCTTAACCGTTGTACCACCAGGGCTACTTAGTCAAAGTATAACAACCTTTAAAACATCACTTATCAAAAACCAAATCAAAACGACAAAAATCCCTCTCTCACCCTCCGGCCCAGGCTCCACATCCTCAAGGCATCCTTTCTGCTGCCTCCTAAGCTGAGAGAGGCAGCTCTAATTATCTTCCTTTTCCCCCTTCCAATACTAATTCTTGGAGTTCAGCAAATTCTAGTTTACAACTAAAAGCAGGCAACCATACAAAAACAAAAACCAAACTTACTACCATTGAGTCAATTTGACTCACTGACTCCTCCTTGGGTTTCTGAGGTGGTATCTCTACGGAAGTAGAAAGCCCAATCTTCCTTCTGAGGAGTGGCTGGTGGGTTTGAACCATCAGCCTTCTGGTTAGTAGTCAAATGCCTTAGGCACTATGCCACCAGAGCTCCCAGGCAAAATCCTGATGAACCACAAAAAGGTAATTTCCAAATACTAGGGTTGAGTGGGACACTTATCCTTCCCAGTGTTTGGAGACGGGGAAATTACCCTTTCAAGAAAAAATAATGTGGACTTTACACCTAGGTCAAAAGCTTACACTCTTTGAAGAATATGATGAAACAATCATCTGCCATCAGAGGTAGAGAAATATAACTGAATCTCACAGTGGGTTAAATTTCTGAGAGGAGAATTTCAGTGGATCAGCTATGGACAAGGTGACAGCTGGGGTATGCGTGTCGTCCTTGTGTAACTGTCAGCAGGACCTCATTTCACTCCCTGAGGGCTTGGCTGATACAGTATGTGGTCACACAGCTACGGATAAATGAAAAATTCAAGCTTGGCAAGCACACGGGCTTTTATTAGAAAACTCAACCATGTAGAAGTAGTTTCCCATTTTTAAGACAAATAGAAATGAAAAAAAGATTAAAATAAATTCCAGTTCTAATCTGCTCTGTGTTTTGTGGAAAGTCACAGAACTAGGAAATGATCAACTACAAATACTAAGACATTTAAAAATAGAATCTGCTCTCCGACCGTAACTTTTCAAGGATCTGGAGGGTAACAGCATCTACTCTCATGCAAGCAGCCTCAGGCCACTATCTGGGACAGAATGCAATACGAAAGGGTCCCTGCTAAGACCTACAGTAGCTTTCTCATCTCTCCTTCAAATTAACCCCCAATGAAGTAGCACATTTATGGACTAACATGAGGTTCACATGCCAAAATGAGTTTTCGCTTTCACAGTTCTCCATCAGTCACTGTGAGTTGGAAAAGTCATCACCTTTAACTTCTGCAGTGAGCTGAGTCTGGTGTAGAGGCAGTGCTTGGGAAGATCCCGTGAGACTAAATAGCTGCCAGTTTCTTCTGGAGTCCCCTTATTCGCATCTTTTGGATCAATGTCTAGGTCCTGTGAAAACGAGCAAAAGTTAATAATGAAAGTAAGTCAACAGCACAAATCCTCTTAACAAGTATCACCCTAATGAAATGTGGCTTGAGTAGGTTCACTCCTTAGGCAGGACTCAAACAGTGAAACTAACATCCTGCAGTTCCGGTAGATTATGAATTCTCCTAGCTCACGAACACTCCACTGACATTTCATTACATGCAGATGTAAAGGACTGCACTGCAGCCTTGAGGAATTCTGAGCTCCACATTAGAATACTTCAAATGCACAGTTACCTCTGAAAGATAGCTTCCTTTCAGACTATTCTGCAGACACTTCCAAACCTGCTCAAGTTTCCTTTTAAGCAGGAAGCCCCATCAGCATCTTCCTCGATTCTCTCCCCCCTTATTCCTCACTTCCGGGACTGGAGCATTTATGAAGACTAATGGACAGGCCAAAGTCAGCCCTACTCTTTTTCTTCTAGAGTCAGCCAACTGGCAAAGGTTCTGCCCCTGCAAAGAGAAGCCCCGAGTTCTGCCTCTGCCCCTAACACAAAGAGGTCCACCAAGGGCTATCACTGTTGCTGAGACAGGGTAGATGAACCTGCCTAATCCTGGGGTTCAGGGCTAGACCACTGCTCCCACATTTAGCAGTATCTACCACGAAGCTCTGATGAGTAGAGTACTACAGGGAGCCCTGCAGGGAAGAGGGATATTATCTTCTGGCTTCTTCAGACCCATGCAAAACAAACATCTAGATGCTTGGAAAGAAGAGAATTACATTTCTGTTGTTCTAATAGTAAGACTCACACTACTGTAACGATAAATAGGAAACAATCGTTTTTAAAGGGAAATTATTCTTGATGTATTACACCTAATAACCCTATTTAGAGTAAGAGAAATTAATAGCATCTTTTTTTTGTTTTCCTAAAAGAACCTTAGACATTTATAAATTCGACAAGCTTAAGGTATCTTGGTAATTTGATTTCAAATATTATGACCCCTCTTACTAAAATATAAATATGTGCATGTGTCTTTCTACTATAATTTTTTTTAACTTAATTTTTAAAAAAATTTAAAATAAGGGAGGATATATCATTGTATTTTAAACAAAAGAAAAAAAGGACTTACAAGTGGAAAATCGGTCACGTAGGCATCGCACATCATAATTTCAGGCGGTTTGTGGACTATACTTGTATAGATTATCATGACGTTGGAAAACTCAGCTGCAAATCCTAATTGAATCTGAACACCGCACTGAAACTTAAGACACATACTTTCTGGAAGTTCTACAAGAAAAGAATAAGAACAACTTAAGTGCTTAAAGAGAGCTTGGGAAGCTTTCTGATGATCACTGTTAAGCGCTGTTGACTCGATTCTGACTCAAAGCAACCCTATAGGATAAAACAGGTAAAACGGAACTGGCCCAGAGGGTTTCCAGGGCTGTCATCTTTATAGGAGCATATTACTACTACTAGATCTTTCCTCCTGGGCTTGAACTGCTGATCTGTTGGTTCGCAGCTGAATCATTGCACCACCAGGGCTCCTATCTCATGACTACCAGCAAAAAAATATTCTTTATGGGACAGAAACATAGAGGTTTTTTTTTTTTTTAATGTGCAAAAAATATTGCTAAGCCAACATTACATGGTTTAAAAACACCCATACACAATTAAAAAAGAAAACAAAAAAAGCCCACTCACTATTCTGGTCAAAAAAATTAAACTTTCCATTCACTGTTGTAGTTCTTGCCCATGTACATACATAATTCTTTTTTTTTTTCCTTTTTAATTTTTATTGTGATTTGGGTGAAAGTTTACAGAACAAATTCACTTTCCATACAGCTGCTCACATACACTTTGTCTCATGACACTGACTGCAATTACCCACAATGCAACAGCTCCCCTCCCACTTCCTCCCCATAGTTACCTGTCCCTGTGTCCTTCCCTCCATGCACTCCCACCCTCCGAACTGCCTCCCTGTGCATACACAGCCCTTCTTCCCCCATTACTGGTCTCTCCAAGAAGCTTATCTACCTCAGGTAAATGTTCACCTCATAGGCCTGTCTTTTGTTTGGCTGGAAGCCATAGGGGTGGGCTCAATTCCAGACCTGAAGGGCAGCTAGGGGCCACAGTCTCAGGGGTTCCACCAGGCTCTATCAGACCAGCAAATCTGGTCCCCCTACCCCCCCCCCCCTTTTAAAAAATGATTTTGAGTTTTGTTCCCCATTGTTCTCCCACTCTATCCAGGATCTCCTACATCCCCCTCCAAGTAGTTGACAGTGGCAACTGGGCACCAGCTAGTGCTTCTGGTCTCACAGTCGTGCGCACACAATTCTTATAGCAGTAACCAAGAACACACACACAACTGCAGACACACTGACACCATCAGCTCAATCTTCACAACAATACTTTTTATAAAGCAAATGTCACTGTCCAGCCACACCACAGTTCACTACCTCTAAGCATTCTGCTACTCTGGATACTGATGAATTGCTGGGTTTTATTTTCTCTCATAATCAATATTTCATATACTCTTAATTCTTTAGGACTGTTGGCTATAGCTATTTTATAGTTCTTCACATACAGGACAAAGTTTTCAATTTATATGAAACATAAAAGTTTTACACTAATATTACAAACTGGGCATTAATTTTTTTTTCCTCTTTTGGTCTATTTAATGAGTTAAATAAAAGAAAATCATGGCTTTTCTTTTCTCTAATTACTACTAAAATTTGTCATTTTCTGTATTTATTTCTCAATTATTAATGTATTCACAACTGTTTGGATTGTTGAATTTGCTTGTTTTATTGAGGGGGTCTTAAAGTTTTTCTCTTACTATTTTACATTAGGTATTTATCACAAAGGAATTACCCACTTATCAAATTTACTATACATACTTTCTATCTGTCCTTTTAGTTTTCAACAAGTTTTGTTTACTACTGATCTTTACCACTGAGATTTTGTTACTATTTTTTAGACTTTTTTTTTTTCAGGAAAAGATATTCAATTAAATTTACTTATCCACTCATCTGGATTGTCAAGACAATATACTTATGGCATTTTACATTGTAGCCTGTTGTAATATTCCTTATGAGGCAGAAAATAGGACACGGTTTTTCTTTTACTCAAAAACATAGTACCTATGTAATTTAAAAAAAAGGGGGAATAAAAAGCCCAGTTAGTTTACCCAAAATATATCTTAGAGAGCAGACAATTATGAAAAGAAGGACTGGTTGTAAGAGTTAAACAAATACAATTTATTTTTAATTATTCATAATAAATTCATAGCATATACTTAGAACTCACAGAAAATCAAAATCTTTATTTCAGTAAAAATTCACTGTGTCACTAAACCACACAGAGCTGTCTAAAGGCAGTAAGGCTACAGATGCAGTTGTCACTTCCACTCCCTTCTTGCCCGCCCAGCCCTCTGGAGCCCAGTGTCAGACAGCAGGCCCAGAGTGCTTCCTGCCTCCACCAGGTGCCGAGCACCCTGTCTCCATCCCAAGAACCCTAGGAAGCAGGTAGTGTATTCTGTCCCCGTTTTAGAGACAATGTGTTTATTAAGTGCAAGAGCCAGGCTCAGAGCCCAGGCCGCCAACTCCAACAGGTGAAAATAGAGGAGTAAGGTGGTGCTTGTGGGCCAAACTAGAATTTAACCCATTTTAAAAACCCTGAACTTAAAAACAACCATATTTTAGTTTTACCAGTGGTGAAAATGATGGCTTAAGTTAATATTCCCAACATCAAACCAATCAGTGTAATATTTACAACTGGGACGACTGTTTAAGTCTTGGGTTCATCCACGAGGCCAAAATATTTCCACAAAGTCGGGAGGAAAGCTGCTTATACAGGAGAAAAGACCTTCATGATTTCACATACGTGTATTATAGAAAACATCCCACAGAACGCAGAGCTTACCGTACCATGAGCCTTGGCCCACTGGAGATTCCGCACCAGTGATTCTGCAGAGTGAGCTGTTCCCTGGATTGGATCAGTAAGTGCTCTCTTTTCAGATAAACTACTTCGAATCTCTAGAGCCTGCTTGCCTTTGGTAAGGTGACACTTACCCATATCTAAAAAAGAAGTAGCTATTATTTGAAGGTTACCGATCACTTAGTTGTGGTTTAAATATCTAGGCCAAGACCTTTATACTACTTAGGTTATATCTTCCATACGGTTCATTCACTCAACCACTGTTTACTAAGCACCCACTATATCCCTGCACGGTTCTAGGTGCTATGTATATAGCACTGAGCAGCAAACAAACAGATGAAACAAACAGCTATGAGTACCTCACTCCTAAAGGTCCGTTTTTAGCCTTCTATCTTCTAGAAGTCTATTAATGAATCCCTAATGTCTTAAGAGGAGCTCTGGTGGCAGAGCAGTTAAGCATTTGCTGCCAACCAAAAGGTCAGTGGTTCTAGCCCACCAGCTGCTCCACAGGACAAAGATGACACAGTCTACTTCTGTAAAGATTTACAGCCTTGGAAACCCTCTGGAGCAGGTCTACTCTGTCCTCTAGGGAGGCCAGTACTCAGAATCCTATTTTCAATTTTCTGAATGTTCCAAGCCTTCAAATCCAGAAAGATAAAAGCGTACTTCTTTACTGACAGAGCAGTCATAATAATTTTATGTCAAAACTCTGTTTACAAATACACTCATCTACCAAATTATCTACAAAAAGAATAAAAATAGTAGGTATTGATTTTTTTTACCTTTCAATCATGGAATTGTAATTCAGAACTGAAATGTACTTTAAAGAATAGCACTGAATATTTTTCAATCTTATTTTGCAGCAGAATCTTTATCAAATGAAATGTAAGTTCAATTTTTATATTATAATGTATTTAAATGTTAGAAGATACACTAAATTTTGAAAATACAGAAAAGTACAGAAAGCAATCACTGATGCCTATGAAGTCAATTCTAAGATTATTTCAGTATTTTGACAAATTTACTTGAGATAGTGACATTAAAAAAAAAAAAAAAGAAATAATGTGTGAAACACTTGTATACACAGCAAAGTCCCAACGCCACCCTACCATCTCCACCTCTGGAGGTAACCATGACCCAGTGTCGCATGTATAGTCTCATATTTATTTTTATTTTTACCCGTGTTTAAATATGTTGCCCTCGAGTTGCTTCCAACTCATAGCAACCCTATAGGACAGAGCAGAACTGCCCCTTAGGGTTTCCAAGGATGTACATCTTCACAGAAGCAGACTGCCACATTCTTCTCTTGCGGGGCAGCTAGTAGGTTCAAACTGCCAACCTTTCAATTAGCGGCTGAATGCATACCCACTGTGCCACCAGGGATCCTTTTACCAGTGTGCAGATACTCCTAAATGGTATGTGCCAGAGTTTCAGATTTAACAGTAATGTTATAGGCATGACTCTGTAATGTACTATTTTCATTCCACATCTTTTAAAGATTTAACGTAGACTGATAGATATCAACTTAGATTTCCGTAGCTCTGTAATAATAATCTTCTGTATGAATAAATCAGTTTATTAATCTTCCTTCTCTATGACAAACACTGCTGCAATGGACTTCCTTGTACACACCATCTTATGAGAATTTTAGGCATTAGCTAATCCATTCTCCATACTGATTGTACCAATTCATCCCAGTGGTAATGGTTACACTTACAGGTCCTGCTTCCCGAAGTGCAGGCTAACTTGGCCATTAGGTGACTTAGTAATTCCTGCCAGCCAGATGGGTAGGCAATAATATCTTGTTATTAGGATCTATACAACCCTGTGAAGGCTCTCCTGATCAGTACAAAAATTTAAAATCAGGGGTTACAGATGGACAGTGGATTTATTTCATATTTTGTTCCACTTGCATACAGTTGCAATTGGTTAAGGTGTTTTTTCTCAACTCCATGGCTTATGATCTCAAGACACTTCTTAGCGAACAGATCCAAAGAGCAAAAGGAAGAGCAGGAAATTGTTTCAAGTTTGGATGAATTTAAACAATTTCTTAACAAATACTCTTACTCTTAACTAAAAAAAAAAAAAAAAGTCATATATAAAGCACCCTAGAAAATACATGCCAAATCTAACTTTATTGTATTATCCTATTCCTGTTGAGCTCTTACTTATTTTGCACAATTAGTTAGCCACTACCCATGATGGAAATGTTTTGGGCACTGACAAGAGTGGTTACATCTGTGCTGCAGGATTCCTTACCTGGGCAGTTTCAATGAAGCAGACATGGCAGGTCTAAAACAGACCAGTGAAAAGCAAACCTTCCTAAGAAGTTTAGAAGTTCAAATACACAGGATGTTTAACTCACAGTACATACTGGGATGATGCTTGTTGCCATGACAACTTGGTATTTATCATATCTAGGAGAGCATGGTGCTTTTTATTAAGCTTTAAAATAGTTAATGTATGTTTTAAAAGTATGGAACCAGAATAAAACATTTGTAAAGCCTCAGCAGCACCTTTAGAGATCTCAGTTTGAAAGTAACTGACAAGAGTCTGAAGGCATCAATGTTTTTCTTTCAAGAAGAACCTTTTCTTCAGATGAGATGTTACATGGAAGTCCAATATGTAAGCAAGAAAAAAGCAGAAGTCTCTGGCTGAAGTGGGGTGTGTGTGTGTGTGTGTGTGTGTGTGTCTGTCTGTCGGGGGAGGGGGAGAGGGAGAGGGAGGGGGCCCGCAGCCACGGCTGTCTGTCAAACGGAAAAGTGGTTAAGTCAAGTGACCTAGCTCAGACAGCTACACTGAGAAAAACACAAAACTAAGCAAATGTGATACACGGTGGTCAGTGAGACACAGGTGCCTCAGACGCAAACTGCCACTTTCTTTCGGACAGGCTTATTAAATGGCACTTTAAAAACAGGTTGCAATCTATGGATGTAGTAAGTACTGACTCAGCATCTGACAAGAGTACAGACAGCCTTAAGCAGACAGTGGAGGAAACAAAAAGAAATGGAAGGCATGGTTGCAGGCCTCTAGGATCATATCCTTAAATCACACAGAATTTTAAAACCACTGGCTTATGTTCATCAAAGGGAAAGAAAAGGACAACTCTTTCTCTACCAGGGCCTCAAAATTTCTGTTTTCTCTCTCTGATCCTGGGAGAGAGTGCTCACCGGACAACTGTTTGCACAGCTGTACAGCTGGCTCGTGGCCAAATTCACGGGGCGGGAAGGAAGCAATTACATGGAGGTGTTGCCGAATGTGATATAAAAAATGGGTTTCGTAAAATAAGTACTAATTCTAAACCTGTAGAATGGTCCCAAACCAAAACCAAACCACTGCCATTAAGTGGGTTCTGACTCACAGTGACCCGACAGGACAGGGTAGAACTGCCCCAGAGGGTGTCCAAGGCTGTAAATCTTTACAGAAGTAGACTGCCTCCTCTTTCTCCCACAGAGCAGATGGTGGGTTTGAACCACAGAACTTCCAGTTAGCAGTCGAATGCTTTAACCACTGTGCCACCAAAATAACAGTAGGGATAAAGTAATTACCAAATAGAGCCCCCAAAGTAGTTTTCTTCAGGGCTTTAATCATGTTCTTTACAGTTCAGTCATGGGCGACAGAGCAAAGATGGAACAGACTCAAATTTGTAACATAAGGTTGTATCTCTGAAAAATTATGAGTTGACATCTGCTGGTAAATGAGGGCAGTGTGTGTGTGACATAGCAACCAAGTCTCTTGTGGGCCAGCAGAGTCAGAAACAACAGTGCCCGGCTCAAAGATGGTGGTCCACCATGTCACTCTGAGTGTGTGTTGCTCTCCACAGTATGAGCAATAATCCAATCTCCTGCATTATGCTCCTGAAAGGGCTCACCATGCCTCTTGAGTCTCCCATTCCAGGGCTTCTACCTCTAACTTTTCCTGTTCTTATACACCCACATTTTACAAATTTGGGTTTGTTTTGATTTCACTGCACCACCTGTGAATGAACCAGTTCCAAGCTCTGGTTTTCATTCCCTCTCTTTCCTCTTTTTTGAGTAGTTTTTTAAAAAAATTTTTGTTTTACCTTCTGCAACTTCATCCAGTAACACAGTTATTTTCTTGTCTTCTAATAACCTATCTTTTAAAAATTTCATGAAGATTCCATTTGCCAATCCAGAATGCTGGATTTCAAAAGCTTCTGCTCCTTGACACCTTTAAAAACAGCAAAAGAAATTTTTAAAAAAGCAACCAGTTGCCACATGGCAAGAACAGGAGCCTCCATATACAATGCTGAGTCTCATTCTTTCCTCTGCCTCTGGTGCGATGTGCCCTGACCAAAGCATTAATCTGTAAGCAGGAACAAAATCCCGTGGTGCTTTAGTGGTATGAAGATACCAAGGCAGTAACTGATAAGGTCAAGGACTTAAAATTTGTCTACCAAGAGTATCATGGTGGCAAATTTATGTCTGTTGTTAGCTGCTATCAAGTCAATTTCAACTCGTGGCAACTCCATGTCTATGGATATTGCTAGGCCTTGTAAACTACCATAAAAAGAAGTCCTCAAAGAGCAAAGGAATCTTCAACATAAACATAAAGTTTCTTACGTGGCATATCCAAACACAATATTGGCAGTGACTTTCAGTGCATCCAAGATTGGAATGGTATCATCATAGTCATTTCTATTGGGAAAGAAAGGGGGAGAGGGAAGACACAAAAAATAAAGAATTAAAAGAGAATTCTTTAAAGAACATAAATGATAATATGAGGCAATCCTCGGGTTACAAATGAGACCTGTTCTTTAAGTGGAATTTGTAGGTCAGTCAGCACAGGTGTATACAGTTCTTATTTAGCCTTTAGTGCAAAAGGCTGGAAGCCTTTTCAATGATTTAAAAGCTGCACGTGCATCAAGTGGAGATGCTTGTGATGAAGAATGTGTTGTGAGTAGGGGCTGGTTTAATCGTTTCAAAGGCAGGGCCAATTTACATAACCCTAAAGGGAATTAGGAGTTGTCTGTATGTTCACAATCTGGGCACTGCCTATTATGAAAATCATCAATCAGTATTATTCATGTATGTATAACTGGAAATTATAGTAAAAATTCTCTACTAAGTTTAACACTATTGACAGAAGACACATTTTTTTCTTTAGCTTTAAAACTAGGCTGTATTTGAACTCTGGCATTGAATTTTGATGGGTAAATGCTGAGCAAACAGAGTGCAGTAAACCTGAGAAGCCACGATAGAATAACCATTGGCTCTATTCCTTGGTAACATGAGGGCTGACAACTGGGATCCAAACCTTCAAACATCTGCTTCACTCAAGCTCTCTGTATCTGCAAGACCAGCAGGACTAGAGTGACCAGAGGCCCAGTGTTTGTTCTAGCAATCCCCCACAAAATAACTATGGTACTTACTGCAGACATCTAAAAGCACTGTGAAGAGTTAAATCCTTGTCTAGTATGAGTAAGTATCAATATCCTTTAGTTTTCTACTTTTATTCTACAGTAAATAAGGAAAAAGTTAAATAATTAAATATATAAAGAGAGAACATGTACTTCCCTCTGACAGTCTTCCTAATCAGTTTTAATTTATAACCTGAAAGTCACAAACTCCAGTGGGTCTTAGTATTTCACAGGTTTACCCTAGATTTAATTCTTAAAAGGTTGACATTCAACTAACTGGAACACACTTTGTTTAATAAAATTAGAAATTGTACCTTTTCCTACACATATCTAACAAGAACACATTGAGTCCAGTTTCTTTCTCTTGCATCAATTTCAGTATATTCTGCACACAGAGACAATTTTCAGATCTGTATGGATTCGGAGCATCAACAGGGACCATAAAGCTATTTCCAAAGTTTTCATAGCCGTGCCCTGCATAATATAATAATCCTGGAAAGAACAAAGGATATATATTAACCCTAATTGCACTCTGAATGTATGTTATGTGTAAGTGTATTTAGAATTAAAAATCGTAAAAACAAAACAAAACAACAACAAAAAAAAAAAACCAAAGGCATTTGGAAGCAATCAGCCCTAGGACACGATGGCCTTCGAGACCAGAAGGACCAGATGGTGCCCAGCTCCCAATGCCAACCACACAGGAAAGGATCCAATCTGGAGATCCTGGATAGAGTGGGAGGGATAACATGGAACAAAATCCAAAAACTCAATAATGACCAGCATTACTGGTCGGATGGAGTCTGGTGAGACCCCCAGTACTATGGTCCTGGAATACATTCTGGACCTGGAATGAAGTTCAGTCCCAGGGGCTGCCTCTCAGCCCAATAGCAAACAAGATGTACACGCAGACCACTCAACCCAGGGTGACGCACCCACATACTCTATGGAAATGCATCCCTTAGAGCAATTGACCACGGGGCACCAGAGGGGCAACATTCATACGGAGGAAATGCAGGACACACAGGAGTGCCTAACTATGAGGGGCATGTGGGAAGGGTTACTGGGCAGGGAAGGGAAGAGACTGGGTTAGGGTTGGGATGGTAAATGGAGAGTAAAACTAAATGTACATGTAATGTTAAATGTAAGACAACCTCTTAAAATAAAAAATTAAAAAAAAAATTAAAAAATCATGATCTTATTTTCCAGTTGACACAAGCATATTTAAGAAATACCCAGTTGTAAATGAAGTCAGTGTTAATTTGCATTTCAAAATTATTTTGGCAATAGTCAATTTAAGTACTGCATTTTACACCAACATCAGCATACTGTCTTCAAGTGTATTTTAATTAGAAGAGTAAAACAATTATAACTAATGAAATAATATGGAATGCAATTTTATCTCATGACGTACAGGCACACCTCATTTTACTGCATTTCACGTTAGTCCACTTCGCAGATACTGTGTTGTTTACAAATTAAAGGTTTGTGGTCACTCTGTGTTGAGTAAGTCTACCAGCTCCATTTTTCCAACAGCATGCAATCACTCTGTGTGTGTGTGTGTCCGTCCCGTTTTGGTCATTCTCACAATATTTCAAACTTTTTCATACCACTGCACACTTAATACACTATAGTGTACATATAACTTTCATATGCTCCGGGGAACCAAAGAGCTTGTGTGACTGGCTTTACTGTGTACTCGCTTTATCGTGGTGGCCTGGAACCGGATCCCCAGGATCTATCTCTGAGGTCTGTCTGCATAAGGAAGGCGGCAGCCAGCCCTGCTAGGCTGGCTCATCTGTCTCCTCCACGACCCAGGAGCTTCTGGACTCCTGGCCCAGGGAAGGAGCTCAGTAAGTATTTAATGAACAGATAAAGACAATTCAGATACGTAACAAATGCACTATCAAGTGTGACAAACTTCAGGCATTTCCGAACAACAGTAGTGAGGATATGAAAAATAAATGCAGATTTTTCCAAGCAGAGAAGGAAACTCTCGTGTGGACTGCTGTTTCTTTTTGCTGTAAGATGTAAACATCATTAATTTTCTACCTGGAGTCTCTGAATTAACATGCAAAATTTGGGTTTGTTTTAGGACTGAACAGACGAATCCTATTTCTTTACTGAGAAATCACACTGTAAAAAGTGCATCAAACAACTTTAAACGCTTTTCTGAGAAGCAGCTGCATTGGGCTATAAAAAAGAAAGCAAAAACATCAGGGTGGGCTTCTTATCAAAATACTCATGAATACATGTTCCCCAGCATGCACTCTCCAAGCCCACGAACACTGGTCTCTCCATGTCCTGGATATAGCGATTTCTTTTACAGCACTCCAAGTTTAATGGCAGACAGCAGTTAGAGAAAACAAAAGGGCATCTACTGCAGTGACATCCTTAGCTCCTAGCAGAGAACGTGGCTTTGAGCACTAAAGGATGCATGCCTTCTGTTTCTCCTGATGTTTATGAAAATAAGAAAAGTGCTTCTTTCATTCTAGCATTTCAGGTGAAATGACATATGGACACGGCCCATGTATTCAGTATGGGTTTACCCCGCATCTCAAGTGTGCACTGAGTATCAGGCAGGCACCGAGGGAAAAGAAACAGAAGACAGAGTTCCTGCCCTCTAGGAGCCAGACGGCGATTCAGGCGTGCTCCTTTCAAATCATGACAGTCAGCACGTAATTAAATGCCATACGTTGTGTCATCAGGGCAACCACGGACGAAACGAGTCTAGTGGAGAGAGGACGATCTACCTTGGCAGAGCGTTCAGATGTGGAAAGGCAGCTAGACAGCGAGGTATGCGACAGGCGGAGAGAGGAGGCACACACGCAGCCTGGGCCTGCGGAGGACAGCAGACAGCAAGAACACGAGCCCGGCAAGGAACTCCACTGTAGCTGTCAATGAGAACAGAGCGCACAGATAGGGCATGCTGTGAAAATCATGAGAGTGGGCGTGGATTCAATTCAAGAAACAGAAGATCAAGGAAGGGAAAAGACAACCCACAGAATGGGAGAAGTATCTGCAAATCCTATCTATCTGGTAAGAACACCTTGTATCCAGAAAACATTCCTAGGTTTCCAACAGAACATACGTTCATACAAAAGCACGTATGTGAATGTTCACAGCAGCGTTATTCATAGTATCCAAAATGTAGGAACCACCTGTATGTCCACCTGCCGACAAAAGGATAAACGAAATGTGGTCACGCCATACCATGGAGTGATAATGGGACATAAAGTACGATACACGCTACCACATGGGTGAACCTTGAAAACACGCTGAGTGAAAGAAGCCACACATGAAAGGCCACATACCGTATGACTATACTCATATAAAATGTTCAGAACAGGCAAACCCAGAGCCAGAAAGCAGACCGGCAGCTGCCAGCTCCCGCGGGGATCAGGGGGAGCAGGAGTGAGTCAGGAGTGCTGGTGGCACACCGAGGAAGACTGCTGTTGTCAGGTGCCTCGAGTCATCTCCCGACCCACAGCCATTCAGCACCATGCTATGTGGTGCTTTCTGTCCGTATCTGTTGACGGTTTTCAACTTAACCTTATTCTCAGAAAATGGAAAATGTCAGTGTCTGCTGTCTCACTGCTTCACAGAACTATTGTTTTAAAAACCCACCCCCCACCGTTTTTTTGCCCCAAGGGGAACCTCAGGCAGAACTTCAACACATAAAAACAGATGAAAGCTGGGTTCTTCTAACAGAGGCTTGCAGTGGAATGTTACCGAGTCCAAATCCCTTATGTGAAGATGTAGAAAAGTCTGAATTCCTTTGATAAACAGGAAACTACAGCAATAACAGCAATACCATTGGGCAGCTTAATGTGTCAGACAGGAGGCTAATTATTTTATCTCATTTATTCCTTTAACAACCCCTGTGAAAAGGACTCAGAGGCTGCATCTTCTGACCTGCTCTAACCTCACAAGAGGAAGACAGAATCACCACCAGCAGCCCAAGGCTTATTCCTATGAGGCCAGACACGCCACCACCCTCCAGCCTGACTCCGCCTTCCCTTCCACGGCACTCACTACTTCTCTGCTGGGTTTGCAATGGCCACACAGAACTCACTGACAATATTCACATTTATGGGGTTTATTAGGAAACTAACAGCCTATAATTCCGGTTCAGAAACACGCTCAGGACACGATTCTTCTATCAGGACAGTCTCCCCTCCGCTGTGCCCTCAGACACACCTCTCTGGACCTTGGCCTCTTGGCCTGGCTTTGGCCTCTGTGGGCCAGGTAAGCCTGCCGCTCTGTCTCGTGCCTCTAGGTTCCAGTGCTACTGTCTCTCCTCTGGGGCGTCTCTCAGCCAAGGAGGTCCAGTGCAGGGATCTCAGGTCCAAGGACACACCCCACTTCACCTCCAGCTCTTCTCTCTTATGGCAGTGAGATGCCCTTCTCTGCCTCTAGGAGGGCTTATTTTAAGCCTGACAGAGTGACAAAAGTAACCCAATCCCAACATCGGAGTTCTATACACCTTATTTGCATGGTCCCACCCAGTAATCTGGTGGGAGTTAGAAAGACTATGGCTACAAAAGCCATAGCAAGTAATTCATTGCACTCCAACTCCCATTAAGTTATTTCTATCCATTTTATAGATCCTTTTTGGCTTAGGAAAATTTCACATGGCAGAGAAATTAAGATCCATGCTGGCGCTAGCTTACTCTAAGGCCCACTGCTTAACCACTGTGGGGGCACTGGACGCTTGCTTCTGGAGCAAGGAAGGTTTCTGCCATATCCTGACCAGACTCCTTTGATATTCTTCTCCATGAAAGATCAGCCAAGCTGCAGCCAGCAATGAATACAAAAAGGCATTTGGTGAGCAGGGGAGAGGCAGCAGGACAAATAGCTATCCTCTCTCCTAGCTGTCCACGCACAGCAACAGGAAATCCTCGACCTTGTCTAGCTTCAAGGACATGACCCGTAAGTGAGTTATTTCTGTTCTGATTTTCTTGTTTTTTATGTTTAAAAGCAAAACACTTATTTGTTGTTCTGTTGTAACTTTTACTTGTTTTATAAAATCATGGGCAATAAAACATAAAAGGATGTAAACGGAATTCCTCTGATTCCCTGTTCACGCTGAAATTCCTATGACTTTGTGCCTTCCTCCTAAAATTACTCTGAGCTACATAGTCCAAACAATAATGAAACATGCTTCTTTATAGTCTGCCCCAAACCTCAAGCCTTCATCACACTTCCAGTTCATGCAGATGTGTCTGCTGTTTGGGTATTCACAATACTTCAAAATATAATGTGGCCACGCTGTTAAGACACAAATAAGCAGGATTTTAAGAGTTCCCAGCTTTCCTGAGCTGCCCCGCGGCAGCTGTACTATAAAATGATGTTTCATGCCAGGGGAGAGCTTGGCCTAAGCAGCATTCGTTTCTCGGCACAACTTTTCATACTCCGGGTTCTCTAACTCTGTAGGGGCAACTAAGGCTTTGTTCTAAACAGTGCACTTAAAGCCAGAGTGATACTGTCACTAAGAAATGCAATTAAATGATCATGCACAGAATTCTTCATATGAGTCTTGTGCTTTTAAAAACACTTCATTAAAACAGAAACCTAAATTGGTCACTACTTTTTCCTTCCACCTCATTACGTCCAGCGAAGTCTTAGAGAACTTTTCTTTATAAAATATTTAAGCTATCTTGTTAATATGTTGTTGTTGTCGTTATGTGCTGTGGAGTCGTAGCGACTCATAGTGACCCCTCCTTGGGTTTCCTAGGCAGTATCACTACGGAAGTAGATTGCCCCATCTTCCTTCCGAGGAGTGGCTGGTGGGTTTGAACCGCCAGCCTTCTGGTTAGCAGTCATGTGCCTTAGGCACTATGCTACCAGAGCTCCCAGGGTTAATATAGGCACCTTAAAAATTGAGATAAATTATATAATATAAAAACAATCAAATAATCCACGTGAGTCTACAATGAAAATATAGACTGTTTACCAAGGCAGCAAACCTGTAAGAACATTCTTTCCTATTTTCCTAAGAAAAGTGCATGGATTTACCCACAGTCACCGCTCCAGGACACTCATAAGCAAAACAATGTTATCACACCAGCACAAGTTGCAACCCTAGACCTGAGGCGATCACACATTGTGAATTTCATTTAGGTTACAACTGTAATCCTTATTATTTACACAAGTCACTCACTGAAATAAAAGATTTAAAACATTTTTCCCAGCCTGAGTATAACAGAGTGTTAAAACCAGAAAAATTTTTTTTCCCATTAAAAATTCCAATTTGAGAACCATTAGCAGTTCTGCCAAGCTATGCCAGTATCTCTGACTACAAATAAAAAGGCTAAAATTTAGGAATGATTAAAGTCAAATAATTTAAAAGACAGAAAAGCCAAACTGATACTTTGTTTACTCCTTGCCTGCCTAACAACAGGCCTGGAAGTGTCACTCTCCTGGTTGTCAAGTGTCACCGCACAACACCATGGATGCATAGGCACTGGGACAAAGGTCCCAAAGCTCCCCAGCGGGCCTTCTCACAGCTGAGGTAATGCCCACGGAAACCAGGAACCGACCAAGTAACTTACTCCTGACAGTACGCGCTTGTCTCTTCAAAGTCTTTACCACACGTGTTGTGCTCTTAACGTCTTTGAATGAAAAGAATGGGAAAAACCATCAATATTTATTGCTACAACTTTTATGGCGGTACATCTTTAACTATGCTGCACAGAACTTTACTTCACAAAATGTTTTCATATACCTCACTCACCACCTACATTTCTTTGTTAAATTTTAGTTTCCACGAAATATCAGAAAATACCATGTAAATTTCAGAAGAAAAAAGATAAACATGCAGAATGCACATGACACACATGATAGTCCCCTGCCCCCCATCTGCATGCACACGCCCACACTACAGTATTTTTCCATGTATGAATGAATGTACATTTTGCTACTTAGTCAAGCTTTACTGCGTACAGTCTACTGCCGCTCTTATAGTCAGTAAAAAACAACACTGTAAACACACACACACAACCCCAAAACGAACAGGTAAGAATACCAATAACAATGATACTGCTTTGACAAAGCAAGACCCACAGAGGTAAAAACCTTATGCTAATTATTCATACGGAATTATGAATGGTGACCAAATCTATGTTTTCTTCAACTCAATTCAATACAATGTGTTTATGCCTTTTCTTTAGCTGATTTTCAACTCTTACACAGTTAAACAAACCAAAAACCCATTGCTGTGGGATCTGTTCTGACTCAGGGACCCTACAGGACAGAGTAGAAGTGCCCCACAAGGTTTCCAAGGTTCCAATCCTGACAGAAGCAGATTGCCACATCTCTCCTCTGCAGAGCAGCTGGCGTGTTTGAACTGCTGACCTTTCGGTTATCAGCTGAGCACTTCAACTGCTGCACCACCAAGGCTCTTTAATTAACAGAACAGTGGATAATTATAACAATTTTTAAAAAGGAGACTTAGACTATGTAGTGGTGAGACAGTTAATAAAGCAGAGTCAGTTTTAGGGAGTACCTGAAGAAAGCAAAGCTCAGAAGTCTCTTACCATATACTCCTTTGTCTAGAAGGAGTAAGAACTCATCCACAGCATTGCGCATCTCAGATTCTGTGAGATCCAACAACGAGACGACTTTGAAATCTAGCTGTCGTAACAAGTTGGTCAACTCATACACGTCCACCAAAGGGGCTTTGAGCTTGGGGTGCTCCCAGTAGTTCATATTTCCTATCAGGAGAGCAACCTTGTCCTTCGCTGTGGGAGGGGGAAAAGGGTATAAAGTTAAAACAAAAACCTATGGAAGAAGTATCATAAAGTATGTGTTAAAGATGGTATTTCCTGATTAATTTCATTTTAGAACTAGTACGAGCTCTGGTAGCATAGTGGCTAAGACACTTGCCTGCTAACCAGACGGCTGGCGGTTCAAACCCACCAGCCACTCCTCGGAAGGAAGGTTGGGCAATCCTACTTCCGTAGTGATACTGCCTCGGAAACCCAAGGAGGGGTCGCTATGAGTCGGGGCCGACTCGACGGCACATAACAACAACAACTTAATATAGCAGACCAATATACTGAGGAACCCAAACAACTGAAATTAAAACTTACTGATGCTGTTTGAAAACCAGGCAAAGGATATGCAGCAAAATGGTGGCTAATATTAAAGTAATGTTTTTACTGAATTACAACAAAAGTAAAGATCAGAATATTCACCTAGACTTTTAGAGCAAACTTAAACAAAGGATGTTTGAAACTGGATCCCCATCACATTAGGTTCTATTTTGCTGAAAACTGAAAAGGCTGAACACAAAGAAATACCAAAACCAGGGAGAATTCACATCAGAGCAGGGAAGGGGAAAGGCCAAAGAGGACTGAAATGCTGCAACTTAACAAGTACTGTAGTTCCGAGGAGTGGCTGGTGGGTCTGAACTGCCAGCCTGCTGGTTAGCAGTCAAATGCCTTAGGCACTACACCACCGGAGCTCCTGCGGCCCAGTAGCACTTAAAAAAGAACGAACCCCAGGTGTGGGTGAGATGCAGCCCACCTCAGGGCTATGTGAAGACTCTATGGGTTCTGAGCAGTTCACTTTCTGACCTCAGTGCACTGAAACCGCTCAGGGAAAATGTGTTGACACAAACAGAATTTATTTAAAAAGGGCAAAAAGAGCCACACCTCCATACCAATGGCCTTGAAAAGTACGAGCTAGCTTAATCAGATGTGTATCCTGGCCAAAAAGAGACATGGAAAGCTGGACATAGCTTAATGCTTAAGAGGTCTTCAAAACTGTACCTTGCCATCCTGGGATCAAAGGCCAGACTTGAGCCTTTCTCATGACTGTTATGATCATGTTTTTCTTGCAGATGGGCAGTAGGCCGTGCAGAGCAACATGGTATAGACTGGTGATGAACACAGCAGGGAGCAGTGGAGGTGTCACAGGAGTACCTGGTAGTACCAGCCATGTGGCTGGAGAGCCACCCTGGACGGCACTGTAGGCCACCTCTTCCTGCACAGGCCAGGACGTGGACGTGACTGACTGTGGCAGTGCTGTGAAGTGGTTCATGTAGGAATCACTGAATGCTACTGGTCCGAGACAGGCACAGGCCACCTCACTGTTGGCTCAATGGCTGCAGCATGCTACCTAATGTGAAATGTTCTGCCTTACCAAGATGATGAAATTTTACCAAACATCTTTGAATTTTTCAAGTTGTCTGTCCACAGGATACTTATGTTTAATGGTAAAAAACCATCAGCACCAACTCAAAGCTTGTGACTCAAAATGGTACAGAACCCTCAGTCTGTGAAAAGCCTCAATACTTTTGACACGCTAGTTATTCTATGGTTAGTTATTATGAACTGACTATTCTTATGATTATACACATCTTAGATAAAAATGAAACGACACGCCACCAGAGCTCCTTAGACAAATGAGAATCTCTTCCTTTAGCTAAAATAAAAAAGTCAACTATCAAGACATTTAATATACTGGGAGCCTTGGCTCAACTGCTAATCCAGCTGGCGGTTTGAAACCACCCAGAGGCTCTGTGGCAGAGACCTGGTGACCTGCCCCTGAAAAGAGCACAGCCTAGAGAGCCCTAAGGGGCAGTTCTGTTCTGTCACACGGGGTCACACTGACTCGGAATCGACTCAGCGGCATGTGACAATAACAAAGTGTGGTTCTTGTTCACCTTGCTCGCTCTGAGAAATTCAGGAAGTCTTCAATCAGGTTCAGTCATCATGAAGGCACAATGGTTAGGTCCTCGGCTGTAACTGAAAGGATGCTGCTCAAAAATCCACCGAGAAGCTACGTGGGAGAGAGACCTGTCGATCTGCTCCCGTCGAGATTACAGCCTAGAACCCCTATGGGCAGTTCGACCGTCACACTGCGTTCTCTGCGAGCCGGAATCGACTCGAGGCTCCCAACAACAACATTCAGTGTATAAGGAAATTCAAACATAAAGCTTTGCTCAACTGCCTTTGACTATTCTCAATGAACAAAGCAGAATGTTCGGGATGAATTTCAACAGGAGGCAGTATGTGTCCACTCTTAAAGCAGTCCTCCAAAATAAACATGACAATCTCACAAATGTAACATCACTTGTATTTTATTTCTCTTTTGTAAAGTTTCTTCTCTAATAAACTAGATAATGTATGCACACCATAGTACCCACTCTTTAAGGTCAGCAGCGGGCTAATCTATAGAAAGCAAAAACAGTGCATTTTTCATGAGTCCGTCAACTCCATCAGAGACCAGACCAGACTTGATACAGTGACAGACTCAGTTCAATCTATTTCTAAGTGAGGGGCATAAGAACTCAGTGCTTCTAGTTCACAACATTACAGCTCAAATGAACAACGAACATCCTCTTGCTCTAAAATGTTCAAACATGCTAGTTATTCCATGGTTAGTTACTATAAAACGAACATTTTAGAGCAAGAGATCCCCAAACCCACACTAACCTACTGGCATTGAGTCGATTCTGACTCAGACACCCTGTGGGACACAGTAAACTGCTCTGGAGAGTTTCCAAGGCTGTACGTAATCTTTATGGAAGCCACCGCCCACCCCTCTCCTGTGGAACGGCTGGTGGGTTTGAACTGTTGTTCTGGTTAGCAGCCAACCACCTTAACCACTGCACCAGCAGAGCTCTTTCAGGTAGTAAAGTCACAGTGTTCTCCCTGCCTCCATGGAGCACGATGATAATTTAATTCTAATATACATCCTAGATTAAATTTTATCAGCAGAAAACAATTAGAAGTATGCAATGGAAAAAAAGAATCACCATGTGTCTTTGGGAAAACCAAGAACAACAACCCTAAAATAACCTAGCCGTCAAACAAAGCATCATGCATGAGATGTTTCAGCTTATCTCAATTCTTTTTCCTTTGTTTTGTTATCTGTTTGGAAAAGAAAACTTGGTATAGTTGCAGATTGCATGGGCTTAACAATTTGAAAACTATATGACTTAAAATGTATGGATCAGTAATCACCCATAACTCCTTAAAAAGTTTCCCCTAATGATACTTCTTAATAGCCAGTTCCTAAGAAACCTTAGAAAATCTTCTTGAATTTAATGATGGTGACAGAAAGTAAACCTGACCTTGCCCAATCTACTTGTAACCCAGTTCCTAGATGACAGGCAAACGGGGGGGGTTGCAGAATAGAGAAGCAGACAGCAGTGGGTGAAATGAGATGACAAAGACCCATTCCAGGAAATGAGTTGAAGAAAGAGAAAGGAAGAGGCAGACACAGAGAAAGAAACAGTAAAATCTGAATCTGGGGTAAGAGTGAGGAAGCAAAGAGGACTTCAAAACTTGGCAACTTTGTAAACAATTTATGATGGTTTTCAGGTGATAAAATAAATGGAAGACAGTTTCTGTAGAAAAACACTTATGTAAAAGCCACCCACAACTTCTTGAAGACAAACCATTTATTGGAAAAAACAATGCCATCTGATTAAGCAGTACGCTAGCGAAACCATTTCAGGAAGATAATTTAACTGTATGATCCTAGCCATCCTCTCTAAGTTTAAGGCAGTGTATTAGTTACACTGGAATATCACTAATTCCACGTCTAATTATTCTAATAGTGTTATTCACTTCTCTAAAATAAATCAATATTCATAAGCACCTGGGTACTTGTTTCTAAGCACTATGGAAGTATTCGTTGGAGTTCTTGGGTGGTAACAATGGTTAATGCACACGGCTGCTGACCGAAAGGATGGAAATTCAAACCCACCCACAGGTACCTGGGGAGGAAGGCCTGGAGACCGATCTCTGAAAAACCAGCCACTGAAACCCTGGGGGCACAGTCCCACTCTGACCCCCAGGGGTCACCCTGAGCTGGAATCAAGCTGACTACAACTGGGGAAGAACAGTCCCTCAGAGACTCCCAGAGCTCTCATGAGAAGATGGAGCTATGGACCATGCACTTGAAGGTTCTACTCACCCAAAGGCTGGTCAGTGGTTTCCTCTTTATTGTCTATAAAATGACAAAGTATAAAAAAGATGTTATTATCCACGATATAAATAACTTCAAGGTTAACTGTATATGGAAAATAATAAACGATAACTTTGAAATGCAGAAGATGGTTTCTAATAGCACATTTGCCAACAATTTTGAGATTTTCAGGACATATATATCCATGGATGGGAGAGCTGGGATCAAGGCAGGGGAATTCCTCTGGTAACCGACCGACACAGCTGGGGGTAGCAGTCCTTCCCATGCCAGGTGAAATTACAATCTGGAAATGGGGATGTCAGTGGAGGCAATCAGCATTAGCAGCAGCAGAGTAGTCAGCATTTACCGAATGCTTGCCCGGCACCACTGTGCGTGCTTTACATATAAACGATTGAACTCATCCTCACTCTACGCTATGAGGTATGTGCTACTACTGCCCGCATTTTACAAAGAGAGAGGTGAAGTCTCGAGCCTAAAGGTAGTAAGCTGCAAATCTTGATTCCAACTTAAAACTGAAGATCCAAACCCACTGCTGTCAAGTCAGTCCCTATTCATAGCTACTCTATTTCTGAACCCATAAGCTTAATCCCCTACTACACATGAAATGAAATACCAGGAGCACCACCCGGGCAGAGGTGCGGAGAAACATCTATGTCTACTGTGGTCCATACGAGACACTGCTTGCATGTTTAGTAACAGAACCGCTACTGAAACCTATTCAAAGTTTTCCTTACACGTCATTCGTGATTAAAACTCAAACTGGGCAGTATCTTTGGGGAGTAAGCAGATAATCAAAGAGAGAGCCATGAAAATTTTAGCAGCTTAATGGTGGTTGTAGGGAACCCTGGGGGTGTAGTGCCTAAGGCATTTGATTGCTAACCAGAAGGCTGGCAGTTCAAACCCACCAGCCACTCCTCAGAAGGAAGACTGGGCAATCTACTTCCATACAGATACTGCCTCAGAAACCCAAGGTGGGGCCACTGTGAGTTGGAACTGACTCGACAGCATCCAGTTTAGTTTGAGAAGGCACCCTGGTGGCTTCTCACCAAAAGGTCAGCAGTTTGAACCCACCAGTGGTTCTATGAACCCACCAGTGGTTCTATGAACCCACCAGTGGTTCTATAGGAGAAAAGACCTGGCAGCCCGCTCCAGGAAGAATCACAGTCCAGGAAACCCTAGGAGGCAGTTCCACTCTGTGCAACAGGGTTGCTGTGTGTTGAATCTGACTCTACAACACACAACAATAATAATGGTAATTGTTTGCAAAAGATTTTCTGAAATAGTGCTTCACAATATTCACTGAAGACAAGAACAGACACGTCTCAGGCAAGGAGATTCTAACGAGATGAAGAGGGTAACTAGACATGTTTCTGGGGTTCAGGGCAAGCCTCACTGAGGCTTCTTCGCCTGAGCTCTAGGCTGCCAGGAGAAGGTACACTGGTGATAGTGGCTTTCTGGTTTGTCTGCTTTATAGTATAGAGCAATCATCATTCACAGTAATTCATTTTATTAACAAAAATACAAGTATGAACCAAGTAAACTAACTATGCTGCTAAAATAATAAGAAATGACATGAAGCCACAATAGGGATCTCAACATGGAGGACATGACACAGTTACCTTCTTTTTTTTTAAACTTTTCATTGTGATTTACAGAGCAAATTTGTTTTCCACTCAATAGTTCATATACATTTTGTTTCGTGACATTGACTGCAATCCCCGTATGTAACAGGTCACTCTCCCACTTTCTCCCTGTGGTTACCTTTTCCCTGTGTCCTTCTTTCCTACGCATTCCCGACCTCTGAGCTATCTCCCTGTGCAAATGCTGCCCTTCTCATCTCTCATGGTTGATTTTCTAAGAAGTGTACCTGCTCGGTAGGACTGTTCACCTTACAGGCCTATTATTTGGCTGAAAGTTAAGCCATAGGGAGTTCAATTCCAGGCCTGAAGGGTTACTAGGGAGCACAGTGTTGGTGGTTTATCAGTCTCTATCAGATCAGTAAGCCTGGTGTTCTTCTGTGGTTTTGAGTTCTGTTCCACATTTTTCTCCCACTCTATCCAGGGTCTCCAATTCGGATCCCTTTCTGAGTACATGATTACCTTCCTCATCAGCTGCGCAAGGTTCTGTTTTCAGATGCTGTCTCAGGTTCTACATTGTCCTTCAGAACACCCCTAAAAAAATGATGTATCCTCTTTAGGCAGATAAGCATCCTTGCAGTTGATATGCCTTTTACCTTAATTAAAGAGCTTCCCTTTAACTTGTTCAGAATTTCTGATTTAAAATGGGCTGAGAGCATTCTGGACACTCACTCCAACTCTAACAGGGCAGCCTCTTAGTGCTCAATGATCTGTCTGTGTGGCGCCAACTGTCCCCACTAACACACTTCACTTCAGATAAACACATTCTGCCCAACGAGTTCAGGAGTGTGCTATGACTGAGGGACTGCAACAAGGCTTCAGAGGTCGGAATGCTACCCCTGACGCTCCATCAGGGACTGCTGCCCTGTCTCTCCAATGTGAGATCTCCCCCACTGACACTGACTGTTTTCTGATATAAGGAGTCACACACGATGATAAAAAATACGTTAGGATGTTCTATTCTGCCTCAATATCCCTTTCTACCCTTACAGTTTTATAATTGACAATATTTTTAATCTTTACAACTTGTGTGAAATTATAATCTGTTAATTTCACCATTAAATTATGATGCCAGTAAAAAAGCTACTACTATTCTTGTAGCAAAATAGTATCTATAATATTTTTATTGTATTCAATAACTTAAACATCTCAAACTAATTTTATGTTTGTATTACTCACCAGGATGCCCAAGATTAGTTAATTCATCTAAAAGGAAATAAGAGAAAATAGATTAATTATAAACACTCTACTGCCAATTAGCACAAATAAGACTAATCAAATAATTAGGTTTTGCTATTAAATCATGTTATAAGACATTATAAGTTTAGAATTTTTCAAATGCCGTAAGTGAGAAGCCATGCAAACTCTGAACAGGAAAGGCTGTGTTGAGGTATCATTTAAGACTTCTAAGCTATTATTGGGAGCTCTGGTAGCATAGTGGCTAAGACACTTGCCTGCTAACCAGATGGCTGGCGGTTCAAACCCACCAGCCACTCCTCGGAAGGAAGGTTGGGCAATCCTACTTCCGTAGTGATACTGCCTCGGAAACCCAAGGAGGGGTCGCTATGAGTCGGGGCCGACTCGACGGCACATAACAACAACAACAAGAAGCTATTATTATTTTCTTTAAATGACAAAAGGCTGAATAAACATCATGTGTTCAAAGTTTCATCGACTCTGGCCAGTTACAGGATAAAATACAGTTAATGAGGTTTGTCTGTAGCTTCAACTATAAACTTCTCCAAAGTAGTAGTTGTGCTGTGTGCCATCAAGTCCATTTCAATTCATCATGACCCCACAGGACAGAGGAGAACTTCCCCAGAGGGTTTCCAAGGCTGTAATCTTTTCAGAAGCAAACTGCCATGTCTTTCTTCACTGGTGGGCTGAAGCCACCAACCTTTCAGTTAGCAGCCAAACACTTAATCACTGTATCACCATGGCTCCTTGAAACTAGTTAACTATCTCAAATGATCTTTATTTTAAATAAACTCTTAATTTTAGAACAGTTTGAGATTTGAAGAATTATTGTGAAGACAGTACAGAGAATTCTCATATACCTCACACTTAGTTTCCCCTATTATTAACATCTCATGTTAGTATGGTACCTTCGTCACAATTAATGAACCAATATGGATATATGATTAGTAAATAAAGTTCATGCTTTTACTTTGAATGCCTCAGTTTTCCCCTACTGTTGTTTTTTGTCCCAGGTTCCCATCCAGGGTCCCATACCACATTTAGCTGCCACGTTGCCTTAGGCTCTTCTTGGTTGTAAGTTTCTCAGGCTTTTCTTGCTTTTTATGATCTTGACAGTTCTAAACAGTACTGGTCAGGGATTTGGTAGAATGTCTCTCATAAGGAATTTGTGATTTTTTTCTGTTATAGTTCCAAATCAAAACACAAACCCACATCCTGGCGTTGAGTGAATTCCAAGATTACAGTCTTTACGGAAGCAGACTGCCACATCTTTCTCCTGCCTGTCATGGTTAGACTGGGTAAATGTGTTTTTAGGAGCTCCAGTGGTTCCAGAATTGGTAACCTGTATGCCCCAGGCACAGGTAGATTAATCTACAGACTTGTAGCTTCAAAAAACAATGGAGTTTATCAATTTCCTATTAAAATAGAACATTTAATATTTGAAAAACACATTAAACAATATAAACTCCTCTCCCAAAACTTTTTAGACACTACATTTGCATTTGAGAAGCATCTTATCGTGGCCAACTCACTGCCGTTGCGTTGGACCGACTCATAGCGACCCCTCCTTGGGTTTCTGAGGCAGTGTCACTACGGAAGTAGATTGCCCAACCTTCCTTCTGAGGAGTGGCTGATGAGTTTGAACCACCAGACTTCTGGTTAGTAGTCAAATGCCTTAGGCACTACGCCACCAATATCTGTGCCAGGATAGCCATTTTCATTTTCTGTCTTTACAAATTTTTATGAAGGTAAGAGTTAATGTTTAAAGCAAATTGGAAATACACTATTTCTGAGATGTTATACGGGAACTTCATTATTAAGTGAAGTATGAAATCAAGTGAAGAATGGTGTCAACCAGTGTACAGGGTTTATGTACAATATCTTTTGCCTTTAGTTTTGCAGACTCCACTCATTTCCAGAGGTCACTTCACACATTTGCAGTACTTTTAGATTCTTCTGCCACAGTCTGCATTCTAGCCTGGGATGGCCCCTTCTGGGACCTCCTAAATGGTTTGTTCAGAATGTGCATACAGGTGCTCACCATTAGTGACCACACAGAACACTTCCAGCACTCTAAAAAAGTGCCCCTAGGCTTCACCCAGTCAACAACTTCCCCCTTGACCAAGTATCTTTACATAAAAAGAAAGAGGGAACATGACTACATTCCTCAGGCAGAAAGAGAAACCACCAGTGAAGTGTGTTGCAGGACAATCACCACAGAACGTTATGATGGTATGTCGTACATCATCAACTACAAACTGTCTCCTAATTTGTTGACTTTTGTTTAGAAAGTTGGACCTAATTTTTCTATGAAGACTAGAAACTTCACAGTCTGCTTTTCATCTTTAACTGTTTTGAATGCGTTTATTTGAAAATGACTGCAGAAGTAACACAGAGAACCCTGTAGGTACAGAAGCACCCCAGGTTCACTATTGACTCTGCCTCCCACTGAAGCCAAACAGCGGTGAGGGTTTATATTTATTCTTAGAAGTCTTCAATGTTAGAGTTTTAAAAATCATGCAATTAGGCAAAAAGCAGTAAGTGAAGAAGAGGTATTTGGTTAGGATTCATTTATGCATGGCTGAGATCACAGGACTGGAAACCCCGCCCCATCCCTGACTGCTACAGATTTCCTGTTACCAACAATGTATTAAGATCCAAACAGTTATTTTAGCATTCCAAAGGGATCCCAGAGGGACAGGAAGGGCAGGTAAGCCAGGAAACCCAAGACTGAACATTATTTTCTTTCTCCACCCAAGGAGGGTCTAAGGTTCTATAATAGTGTAAAGAGGCAGAGATTGAAAAAAGTACTTTGCTATGCACAAATCTAATTTTGCAAAACAATGTGACATCACACTAAGGAAAGGTAATTTAAGTTTTAGAATTTACTCATTAAATTTACATACAATGCTTTGATTGATTCAAACAAATCGGAAATTTTATCTTGAAGTGGAATTTCACTTCTCTTTACATATAAGCTAAAGGTAACATGGTAGCCTTATCCAGAGCCTTGCAGTTTCAGTACAAATAACGGATCTTATCAATTTCATACTAAAAGAGAATATTTAATAAAAATAGATGTTAAACAATAAAACTCCTGCTCTTTTACAGAAACTACTTTTGCATTTGAGAGGCATCATATCACGGCTAACCAACCCAATCCACTGCCCTGGAGTTGATTTCGACCCCTAGCGACCCTGCAGGACAGAGCAGAAAGAACTGCTCCATAGGGTTTCTAAGGCTGTCAATCTTTATGGAAGCAGATCGCCTCATCTTTCTCCTGCAGAGCAGCTGGTGGTTTCTAACTGCTGACCTTTTATTTAGCAGCCAAATGCTTAAACCATTGTGCCACCAGAGGTCCTTATTGGGGCTAAAGGATAGAGAAAAACATCTGAATATACATGACAGATAGCCGTCTATTTTTAATGCAAATTTCGGAAAGATAAAAACGAATATGAGGACTAATTACAAACGGCCCGTATTGTCAGATGCTACACAGGAACTTTATTCCAATGGGCAACAGAAAATCAATTAAAAATGGTTATTTTAAAAGCATGTCAGCAACTGAAAAAACTTAAAAGAATAAATCAAAATCATTTCTCATAGCAGTATTTTTTCCATCACTGCAGTCAGTAAGCTAGAACACGCCACCAACCCCAAGGGAAGCAGCATGCGGGTGTTTTTTTTGAAACCGAAGGATTACACTACCTTCCGAGCATTCCACTGCCTCATCTGTTCTTCCTTGTTTCAGAGAAAACAAATTTGAATATATTGTAATTCATGGTCTCAGGGAGGGCAGCCATTAAGCAAACAAAGAGACAATATCATAGAAATATGTTGACAAACCAACATATGGAAACATCTCCTACTAGTGTCGACATTACCAGAAGTTTATTACACTTCATCAGAACACACACCTACATTATGTAGTTCATAATGGGGACTGGCGATTAATAATCAATCTTTCCTTTATATACAGGGTTTATGATTTTGAAAAATGTTTTATTCAAAATCTTTTTCCACTCAGTCAAGTTTTTTTTTAATAGCTAAAGATTTAAAGAGCAGCTATTTTGCCATATATTTAAAAATAAGTTATAAAATTGAAGAATAACTAAAATAATCTAAATAAAATAGCTTTTCTTCTGGTTCTTGCTCACTGTATGTGAATCTAGATTAATTAGCATGCAGTGTTTCAAGTTTCTATGTAACAATGTAACTCCTGATACTTAACGTAGCAAAGTACACCTGAATAGTATGGGATCAAAAGTAGGAGTCTGGTTACTTCAATGTTTCCCTTGATACAGTCTATAGTCTATTCCACTTGTCAGAACACTGAGTAATGCTTCTTACCTATGATCACTTCTACCCTCCTGCTGGCTTGGGCGTCTCGGTCACTGGACACACGGCACCAATAGGTTCCCTGATGTTCCAGACCCACACACGGCACCTACGTCAACATCAGAACATGGACATGTTTCCTCTTCAATTATGATTTAAATTGACATGGAGCAAAAGTTATTTTGTGCAAAACAAAACATTTCAGAATGCTTTAGACATTCTTAGACTATCCTTACTCTTTAGGTTAATATCAGCAAGCTAATGATAGATTCTAAAGGTGGTGAGTTTGGTAAACCACTCCTCCACATTTTAGGTATAAACCCTTCGAAGGGGGCTAGTCTTGAGTTCTAGCACGTTAACAATTATACCAAAAAACCCCCCCAAAAACCCAAACTCACTGCTGTAGAGTTGAATCCAACTCATAGCGACCCCTCCTTGGGTTTCTGAGGCAGTATTTCTACAAAGTAGATTGACCAATCTTTCTTCCGTGGAGTGGTTAGTGGCTTTGAACCGCCAGCATTCTGGTTAGCAGTCAAATGCCTTAGGCACTATGCCACCAGAACTCCCCTTAGCAATTATATGGTTGAAGAAATACAAAGTAACAAGGGACTAGAAATAAAAATACTAAAAACATAAAAACACCCCAAAGTTTGAATGCTCACCATAAACTTCAATTATACCATTTATTTTACATATTGACACAAGAATACCCAGAAGATTAATTTCCTACCACATAAAGCTTTTTGGTCTCGTGGATTAAAGGCAATTCATTTCTGAACCACTGGTAGTGAGGAATCGGGCTCCCAATAGCCACGCATTGTAAAACCAGTGTTTTGCCTAGTCTCAGCCTTTGGGAGGTTGGTTCAACACAGATTTGCAACTTGGATTCACAGATGCCATCCACACTTCCTTAAATGAAGAGAAAAATATTTCAAAAATAAAATCTCTAGGGAAAAAAATAACAATTTCTCCCTTTAGTTTTTAAAAAACAGACCTGCTCGCCAGTTCCCCCTTCATTTCTCACAATCTATTATTGTCTTGCTAACTGTGTTCCTAGCAAATAAGAGGCTTCTATAGACAAACACATTTAGAAAACTCTGGGTTGCATAAGGTTGAACAGATTTCTTCAGTGTGGACCTTCTCAGGTTTCAAAGTGTTCATGTACAGTGTGAATTTAGGAGGGAAAAATAGTTCAAGGGTTTTCCAAATATATTTAGCCAGATATTTATGTCTTGAATAATATTCACCTTCAATACAAAACAGCTCTATACTCTGTGCTTGGATTTAACTTGGCTTATGGCAATAAGAGTTTCATTATGAGCACTGAGCAAACATGGATGGGGCAGGTATCAGAATTCATTTACTGATTATCAGAATGTATTCATTTATTTATTACTCTGATATTTCCTTGAGGGAAGAGGGTGTGCTAATTTTGTGCATTCCTGAGCTTTTGGCATGAAACTTGGTGTGTAACACATCGAAGGTGGTCAGTTGGTATATATTTGTTGAATGAATGACAGAAACTATTTTCAGACATGGTACAGAGTTATTAAAATTAAACATAACCAAGATGGAAATATTGTCAATGTTTCTCAAAGAAAAAACAAAACCAAACTGTCGAGTCGAATTTGACTCAAAGCAACCCCTCCTTGAGTTTCCAAGGCGGTGTCTCTATGAAGTAGATTGCTCAGTCTTCCTTCTGAGGAGTGGCTGGTGGGTTTGAACCACTAGCCTTTTGGTTAGCAGTCAAATACTTTAGGCACTATGCCACCAGAGTTACTCCTCAAAGACCTAGTAACCAAATGGCTGAAAATATGCCAAGGATCCACACACCGTTATGAAGAATTGTTTAGATTTTTAAGCACCGTCAAGGGAGGAATGTTCAGTCCTGTGTTACACAAAAGCAGCTGGAAACATGTATAAATGATTCCATTTATATTCAAAAGTCCATTGTAGGTATAGAAATAGTGTGAGAAGGCTGAAATCTCTTTCTTAATTAATCATGACCATTTCTGAAGATCCTCATGGAGGCTGGGGTAGGCTTCAATATCCTGCTCTGAGCCATCACAGCTCCCCCCACCCCCATAGTGCCTACCTTGCTCGGCATTTCTAATGAGTTTAGAGCTGAATGGGAAAGTAAACCAGCTGAACGTTGTGCCAATTTTTAAAGACAAGAGTGTGGCATTTGGGTGTCGAGCTATTTCAGTTTCCCTGGGACTTACAGGTTTCTCAGTGCTGCAAGTGAGAAGGAATAGGGCAAACCGGATGGCTGGTAGGCACCCCAGCCATGAACAGACGCTTCACCAGGTCACTCATCCATTCCTATGGGCCTTCCCTCAGTGCTCTTGAAGGAGGTCAGGGTGAGCAGAAGAGATCTGAAGACGATCACCCTCTAAGCCTCAGGTCTACAGGGCTTGTTGAAAGCCGAGAGCAGAAGGACGGAGAGGAATCCTTCTGTGGCACTCCAGGACTTCAGTGCAGACAGTGTCACAGTCTTCCAAGGATGGCTGGGGCAGGAGATCCCCTGACACAGGAAAACTAAGGGTGGGGTTGGAGAACAAAGTCCTTAGGGACTCAAAAAGCTGGCAGCCATGCTATAAGACGGAGTGAGATCCCCTGGCAATCTGACACTAAGGCTGTCACACAGAGGTCTCTGCAGTGTCCCGAGTATTCAAGTCTCAAGTCATGCAAGAGGAAAGATCTTTACCCTGCCTTCAAGTCAGCCACTGGTAAACTGAACAAAACTTAACACCCAGTTCCTGCTCAACTACAAATCAGATCAATATATATCCCCACTCTAATAGCCTGACAGAAGCCCATTCTGGGTATAAATGTATTTACTTCAGTCTCTATTCTTCATATATGCACAGTCTGTCATACAATAAAAAAATGATGAGACTTGTGCAGAAGCAAGAAAATGTGATCCATCATCCAGAGAGGAAATACTTAACAGGAAAAGGGCAAGGCATGATCTAGATGGACTAATATAAAGACATGGACCTGTGAGAAAGGAAGGCATTATCTGAGCAAAGGAAAATTAACAAGAAGAAACTAAGCTTGTGCAGATCAGGCAGGTGTGTGTGAGGACAGGACAAGGGGCTACTGTCACAGGTTAAGTTAGAAGCCATTAACAGGGAGCAGACTGACAAGGGTTCTATGTCTTCGTAAGGCATCTGCGTATGTTCAGATGTCCACGGAAAGAGAGTGAAAACAAATGGGACAAAACACCCTATTTGGTGACAGTATATAGGGTGAAGCATGTATGTAAACTTCTTGTACTATTTTTGACACTACTTCTTACAAAGTAAAAACTGTTAATAAAGTAAGGTAATTTCCATCTGCACACTCCACTGGTTTCATCACTTACTCCAAGAGCTTTCTGTACCTTCTGTGACATCACACACATCCAACTGGGACCACTGGCTGAATTCAAAGGTGCAGTTATTGTTAACTCGACAGACATAAAAGCCTGAATCTTTGACATGCACGGCATTAAAAACGAGTTCTGGAGAATTTCCGCATGGGATCTGTGAAAGAATCAATAAAAGAATAAAAATAAACAATGTATCAAGATCACATTTTATAAAATGTCCTGTGCAAAATCTTTGATTTCAGTCTGGAGCTTTGGACAGTCAGTCTTGCTTTTTTCAAATTCTAAAATATTTGTCAGTTAACAAATAACAACATTGTCAGTTATTTAGAACTGAAGTCTTAGAAATCCAGAGTCTTATTAATCCATTAACCAGAGAGGTTAAGCTGCCATGTAAACATCCCCCAAAAGCTCACTAAAAGCTAAGTATCTGTTCTGGCCTTTAAAACAGTTAAGTCATTCACATTTAAAAGATCTAAGATGGACATGTTTATGAATTAAGTAACCATACAACAAGACAAACAGTCTTTGTTTACAAACAGTAGAGTGTAGAGAACACAGAAAATCAGAGCTGAGCTGGCCATGAATTCCAGTCTTTCCAAATTAGCTGTGAGTACACGGGCAAGTTATTTTACCTTGGAACCCCAATTTCTCACCCTCAAAATTCTATGAGGATGGGCTCCTTAATAAAACAACACAGTGCTTCTTTCAAGGCCTGGGTGTGGAAGAGCTTAGGAAGCACATGCGTGATGATGGGAAGGTATGGTCAGCCCAGAGCGTCCCCAACTTCTGCCACCTGCTCCCTGGGCGTCTGCCACAACAAAAGGTTTCTTCCATCACTGGCCGCCCACTGATCAACTCCAGCCAACTCTGACACGGTGAGGGACGGCTTCCTCACGGGCCTCATTCCTTTGCATAGCACTGGGACAAGCTCACCCCCTTCCCTCCCCAAACCCCCAGCAACCGGAGTCAACCCTCTACCCTCTCAGTGTTTACACCAGAGCAAGAGTGTTTTGACCTTGGGGCTGACAGGCTGACCTCAGCAGTGGCTGGCAACCCTACTATCATCCTACTTTGCTTTCCTCCTTGTCAATCAATTTATCTGTTCTCATCTGAAACCTCCAGCAATCCTTCTTTTAGGGAATGACTTTGGATAGAAACTATCTCCTCTCCCTGTTCCCAGATCACAAACCTGTCCATGTCTGTACCTATCTGTAACTGCGCTCCCCTCAGGTTAAATGGAAGCTGAGCCTTCTTCCTCACTAAGGCCACATGGACTCTTGGTCCCATCCCCTTTGACCTTGCTGCATCACTCTTAACTACATTCTAGTACCTTCTACTTTGGAAGGCCTCGTGACCCCTTATGAAATCTCAGCCACTGAAACCCTACGGTGCATGGTTCCTCTCTGACACACATGGGGTCACTTAGTGGAAATGAGCTCAATGTTTCTTTTTTTTAAATTATTTTTTTTTGCCTTCTAACATAAACAAACAAAAACACCAAACAAGCTTCCTTTGATTCTACACCCCATCTCAGCAGCACTGAAGAAGCTGGCACTCACTCCGTCCTTCTTAAACACTGCTCCTTCCTAGGCTGTGCCACCCTGTCTTGGTCGTCCTCTCATGTCTCTGGTAGATTCCTCTTACTCTCTCCGCTGGCTCCTCCTCTCTTACACAGATTACCAACCTGATGTCTCCAAACTGCTCAGCTGGGCTCTCAGTCAGATGTCTAGTAAGCACTGCACACTTATCGTGCATGTCTAAAACCAAACTCTTCATTTTTCTCCCCAAATCGATTCCTCTTCCATTTTCAGCACCTTAGGAGCTAACACCACCATGGTCCCAGCTGCTCAAATCAACAACCTGGGGGTCATGCTTGACCTCTCTTCTTGTTTCCCCATGCTCACGTAATCCCTCTCTAAAATAAATACTGAATTATCCACTCAGCTCCACGTCCGAGGACACAGCCTAGTCCCTAAGACCACTATTTCTAGTTTGGTAACTCTTCTTTCTTTTCTCTTACTTCCCCTCAAGCAGCAAGTTTGTGTTTTAAAAACATCAATCACCTCATGTTACTCACTCAGCTTTAAACTTTTCACTGCTTCTCACTTAGAAAAAAATCCAAACTCCTTTAAATGGCTTACAGAGCCCCACCTCGCCCGACTCCCGTCTTCCTCTCTGATCTCCACTCACCAATCTCTCCTTTGCACAAAGGCTCTGACCACTTCAGACCCCACGGGCTTTGTGCTGCCTGGAATCCTCTCCTGTAGCCCTTGATAAGGCTGGCTCCTTTCCAATCTTGCATTCTTATAGAAATGTGGCCTCTTCAAGGGAGTATTTTCTGATCGTCCTAACTAAAATAGCTTCCTTCCCTCTCTCTCACACCACTTTATTTTCTTCATAGCTCTTAGCTCCCCCAAAACCAAAACCAAACTCACTGCCGATTCCCACTCATAGTGACCCCCTTTGGGTTTCCGAGGTAGTAAGCTTACATAGAAGTAGATTGCTCAGTCTTCTTTCCACTCAGTGGCTGATGGGTTTGAACTGCCAACCTCTGGTTAGCAGTCACAGTAATGACCGTATCTGCTTACTGCCTCTGACTCTCCCCACCAGAGTGTAACCTCGGGGAGGACAGGGGCCTCTAAGTCACTGCTTCATCATCGTGGCCCTAGAACATGGCACAAAATTGGTGCTCAACAAAGCCTTGTTGAAGGATTCCCTCCTAAAACAGACTTGTGAACCTACGAATGGCGTGACAGAACTCCGTTTGTTAAGAGTTTTAAGATCCTTTCCAGCTCCTCATCCCTTCCATTTCTACCTTTCTCAAATCAGAACGTATTTCACAAAGGACAAACTTAACATGGACTTTCCTGTTACCTCTTCATCAAAACTAATAAAAAATCAAACTCACTGCCATTGAGTCAATTCCAACTCATAGTGGCCCCCACTAGGTTTCCAAGGCAGTAAATCTTTACAGAAGTAGACTACTCAGTCTTCTTTCTGCAGAGTGGCTGGTGGGTTTGAACCACCAACTTTCTGGTTAGCAGTCAATCACCTTAGCCCTACACCACCAGAGCTCCTCCTCTCTTCATCAGAAGGCATTTATTTAAATGAATGCAACTGTGCAATCGGGAAAACATGGTCCAACTCCTGAAAGCCCAGGCATTTGATGAAGGATAGAAAACAGCCCATGAAGACAGGAATTCACATGGCTAACTGTGACAGTCAGGGTTCCACCAGGCCTCTCTGATACCTGGGCCCACAGGTGATCTTTCCACCACATTCTGCTGCTGCTCACGCTACCACACTTGTTCATGAGGGAAGGAAACAAGCAGTTGTACAAAACCACAAATGTCTTCTAAGGAAGGTCATCTGTTAAAGGAATGATCACGATCTGAGAATGGCCTTTTTACCAAGTTTTAGATTTGTAAAAGTAGACTTAGCACCAAGTTTGGGAGAAAGCAGAATTGCTTAGATTGCCATCTAAGAGGGAAAACGATGAGGAGTGATGAATGAGGAAGGAGAAGAGAAGCTTGGAACATGGACACATGAAATGGGGCAGTCAGACCAGTGAGAGATCCCCAGTGGCGAGGTGGTACAAAGAGCTTTCTGTAGTAATTTACTTTCATGTGTGTTGTTGAGATCATACACAGCAGAGCATGTACCAATTCCAGTTTCTACATGTACAACTCAGTGACACTGATGATAGTCGAGTGCTCCAGCCATTCTCACCCTCCTTTTCTGAGTTGTTCTTCCTCCATTAACTCACTGTCCCCCAAGGTTCCTATCGAATCTTCCGATTTGCTGTTGTTGGCTGAGTCCCATGTAGATGGATCTTAAAAGAGCACAGTGTTTGAGGCAGATAGTCTGCATTTGTTAAGCTAGTTTAGCTGTCTGGTTTTAAGAAGATCTCAGGGTTTGGTTTAAGGTTTAGAGATTATCTCAGCGCATTAGTTTCAGGGGTTCATCCAGCCTCCATAAGGCCGGATTCCCTGAGAATTTGAAATTCCGTACCGGATTTTCTCCCCTTGATCAGGATTCTTCTACAGAATCTCAAAGAACTTTAAAGAGAGAAGAGAAAGATGCGATTTAAATCATCTGCTGTAGGAATGCAATCCTTACACAAGAGGAATAAATGCCCCACTCTGCCAACTGGAATTACACTCTAGAATCCACAACAATGGCCTATATCTTCTGATACGATACAGTTGTGTAGAATGCTTAACATAATAATATTGCATTAGCTTTCTACTAGGCCTTGAATATCTTGTGGTCGAATATTTTCGTTGGGACATTATCTGCTGCAAAAAATTTTGTATATAGATGTATTAGAATGTACAGGTGATGTTTCATACCTACTAACACTGCTGTTAAAAGTAATCCTTAATTTCTACAATTTTTAGAGTGGAGAACTGATTTCACTGTTGTGTACAATCCTTGGTAAAATAATTTTGGAACTGTCTTATCAACATAATGATTATTAAATACTTCAGTAAAAATCCAGCAAAGCCTACAAGTCCTTCGACAATGCCCTCAAAACAAACTGAGGACAATACCACTCTTTACTTTTCTATCATCTGCTCTTATTGCAAAGGAATTAAAAGACATTTAAAAACATACCTCTTTATTCATTTTGAACCACTGATACTGCACGAAAGGATGGCCAGTTGCCCGGCAAGACAGTTTCACAAACTGTCCAGCCAAGACAGCCTTTGATTCTGGGTTTACAACGATCCTTATTCCTTAAAAAGGAAAAAAAAAAAAAAAAAAAGTTAGAGAAAGTCACAGAAGAGGGTGTTTGCCTCATTTATATTTCTAAAACCAAATATCCAAACCAAACGAACAAAACCACCAAAACCAAGTATTTTGGAAATAACCTGCCCATTTCTCCTCATTATAAACCACACATTCACACCTTCTTTCTCATCAGGTTGTAAGTTCCTGGCTGTGTAAAACCATGGGGAAAGAAACTTGCCTGCAGAAGACACTGCGCTACTGAGTGTCCCCGGGACTGGGGGAGAAAGTTTTTTTTTTGCCATATTTCTTCATATTCTTAGAAACCATTTCCCCCATTTTAAATCCCCAAACTCAAAACTCATTGCCATTGATTCTGACTCACAGTGACTCTGCAGGACAGAACAGAACTGTCCCACAGCATTTCCACAGCTGTAAATTTCATAGAAGCAGATTGCCACATCTTTCTCCTACAGAGCAGCTAGCAGGTTTGAACCACCAACTTTCTGGTCAGCAGTGAAGTGCTTAACCACTGCGCCACCAGGGCTCCTTTGCCACATTCTAACACCTCTGGAATTAGGATGCACCTTATGGGTGCCAGTCAGGCAACAATCTTTCTGTAGTTCCCACTGCCAGCTTGTGTGAACGCTGGCCATATGCACTCAAGTGGCTGACACTTTGACTGAATAAGGTGTACTGTTAGCAACCCAAGTGCTGAGTTTAAATGCCATTTAAAATGTCTTCAAAAAAGAGTATCATGATTTAGCTTTAAAATGAAAATTATTCTGTAAGCAGAAAGGACCATATATCAACAGCAGGGTCTAAATTTGATACTTGTGATCAAAAACTTCTCCCATGAGAAATGACTACTGGTATCAGGATTGGAGAACTCTGACAGCAGCTTGGAAGAAAATCCCAGGGACAATGATGGAGCACACCCCACCTCCCTCTTCCTTCTCTGATCATTGGCTCTGGGGAAGTCCTCTGCTATGTCATGAAGACACTCAGGTAAGCCTATGGTGAGGCCCATATGGTAAGAAAGGATTCTGCCGACACCCAGTGAGGAAATGAGGTCTCCTGTCACTGGCCTATGAGTTAGCCATCTGAGAAGAGGCTCCTCCAGCCCCAGGCAAACCTTCAGATGACTATAACACCAGTGACAGCCTGATGGCCAAACCATGAGACTCTGAGCCAAAAGCACCCAGCTAAGCCACTCCTGTTCCCTACCCCTAGAAACCCTGTAAGGTAAGAAATGGTTCTTTTGAGTTGCCAGTTTTGGATAAGTTATTATACAGTAACAGATAACCAACACTCACTATGGCCAGTGGTTTCTGACTCACAGCAACCCGCCCTTGGGTTTCCCAGGCGATATCTCTACAGAAGCAGATTGCTCCTTCTGAGGAGTGGCTGGTGAGTTTGAACTGCCAGCCTTCTGTTTATCAGTCAGTAACAGGAAAAGATAAAAAAAGAACCCAAAGTTAGGAAATTTGACATCTGCCAAGGTTATATAGTACGTAAAACTGGGTTTGCTTCCTAACATTTCGGGAAGGTAGCTGAGAAAACATTAAAAGGTAATTCCCTGCACTTTTATTTTCTTTCCTTATCTGTCCCAATGTGACCATCTAGCAGTCTACTTTCCTCTACATCAGCCAATTCAAAGGATCAAAACAAGATTATTTAGACTAAATAACAACAATTTTAATACATCAGAGCTACTAAACTTTCCAAAACCAAAAAAACCAAACTCACTGCCATCAAGTTGATCCCAATTCACAAAGACTCTCATAGGGTTTCCAAAGCTGTAAGTCTTTATGGAACTCATCTTTCTCCCACAGAATGGCTAGTGGGTTTGAACCACCAACCTTTTGGTTAGCATCCAAATGCCTTAACCACTACGCCACCAGAGCGCCTTACTAAACTTTCCAGTAGAGAAAATAATAGTGTGTAAGGTGAAACATATATATGTGAAATCCATATTGAAAACATGGCAAATAAAGTCAAAACTCGAAATGCGTAGATATTTATTACAAGCCTTTATCGCATTTGGGGGTCTGGAGAAATCCTGGAAAACACTGAGTAAATATAGGAGAGTCCCTCAAAAATAATTCAAAATTCTTGCCAAGGGTAAGCTTTTACATTCACTGGTCCTTTATTCTGAGCCAAGTTAGCACAAGATGGATGGGTACACAACTTTTCTGAATTTTGTTATAATGGTAGAAGGAAAGTACCTGGTGAAGTCTAATATGACATGTACACTTGTGATTAAGTTGCAGTAATTTCACAGCACTGTATTTTAGTGTCTCATACTTCCCATTCATCTGCCAGGGGAGTCTAACATTATAACTTCAAGATACAAAGGTTCTGATTTTCAAAGATTAGGTATGATAAGAGGAAAAAAAAGTTGCAGCAACAACAGAATGGAAAAAGTATAAATCTAAGAAATGTACGCATTCTGCCTAAATTGGCTTTAATTAAAGATATTTAATAAGCTCTGGTAAAGTAGTGCCTAAGGCACCTGACTGCTAACCAGAAGGCTGGCAGTTCAAACCTACCAGCCACTCCTTGGAAGGAAGGTTGGGCAATCTACTTCCGTAGTGACACCGCCTTGGAAACCCAAGGAGGGGTCGTTATGAGTCGGGTCTGACTCGACGGCACAGAACAACAACAATTAGCATCTCAAACTTACCATGTTCCAAGCTCTCCTGACACAGTTTACTCCTTTGCCCATTCCCCAGTCCTCCTATCTCAGAGAAGATACCTTCATCCATCCAGTTAACTCAGGACAAAAACTTAGCAATTACCCTGGAATCCTTCCTCCTCCCCAGATGTAACAGACCTGTAAGCCCTGCCAAGTAAGCTTCTCTACTTCTTACCATCTTCACCAAATGGTCTCCCCAACACCAGTACAGGTGGCTTTTCAAAACACAAATGAATTCGTATCATTCCCTGACTAGAGCTACCTAGTGCCTCCCATTGTACTAACCACCCCACCAGGTTCTACAGGGACTGCCCTCCCATCCCTCTGCAACCTCCTCCAGACCACTCTTCCTGTTCACAGGCTCCAGCCAGATCCCTTTCATATGCTCAGCTATTTTCCCTTTGTCCTCTTCCTCTCCAGTTGGAATTCCTCCTCTGGACTGTTTCATGACAGGCTCTTTCTCCTCATTTAGGGGTCTACTGAATGTCTCTACTAGAATGCTACTGCCACCTCTGGCACATGCAAAGAAACACACAAAGCCCACCTTCCAACCCAGGAGGCTCTTTTAGTGAAGGGAGTGTGTCAGGTACCATGATGCTGCTTACAAATGGACCATGGCAAATATTCTCTGGTATTTTACACAAAGAAGGAGCCCTGGTGGTGCAATGATTAAGCACTTGGCTGCTAACTACAAGGTCAGCAGTTCAAACTCACCAGCAGCTCCACAAGTGAAAAGATCTGGCTATCTGCTCACGTAAGCATTACAGCCTATGGGGCAGTATCTATCTACTCAGTCATAGGGTCTTTTTTTTTTTTTTTTTAATTAGGATTTGGGTGAAGATTTACAGAGTAAATTCACTTTTCATACAGCAGTTCACATATACTTTGTCTCAAGTCATTGACCAAAATTTACAATGCAGCAGCTCCCCTCCCACTTCCTCCCCATAGTTACCTCTTCCCAGTGTCCATCCCTTCATACTCTTCTGCACCCTGAGCTATCTCCCTGTGCATAAGCAGCCTTTCCTTCTCCCATGATTGTTCTCTCCAGGGCGTGTGTCTACTTGAGGTAAATGTTTAACTCACATGCCTCTACTTTGTTTGGCTGGAAACCACAGTTGTGGGTTCAATTCCAGACCTGAAGGGCAGCTAGGGGCCATAGTCTCAGTGGTTACACCAGGCTCCATTGGACCAGCAAACCTGGTCCCCACCTTCTTTTTTTTTTTTTTTGTCTCCAAATGATTTTGAGTTTTGTTCCACATTGTTCTCCCTCTTTATGCAGGATCTCCTACATCCCTTCCAAGTGGATGGCAGTGGTAGCTGGGCACCATCTACTTCTTCTGGTCTCATAGTTGTATAGGTTGCAGATCGGATGGTGTACCAGTCGCTAGGACTGATTGTTTCCATTAATTTTGGTTTTCTTCTTTCTTCTTGACGAGGAGAGACCCATTGTTGCATCTAGATGGCAGCTTCCTAGCTTAAGGTCCCAGTCGCTACTCGCCAAAGTAGTAGGTGGAACAATGTTTTGTATAGTATGTTATGCCAATTGAGTTTGATGTCCCCTGCGACTATGGTCCCAAGCCCGCAGGATCAACTACTCGGTCCCTCTGGGTAGCTGGCTGTGACCAAGTAACAGTCATAGGGTCTTGAGTCGGAATTGACTCGATGGCACACAGCAATAACAACAACATCATACAAACAGGTGAGAATGACGGAATTAGAAGGCTTTCTCCCTAGAGTATCTTACAAAGGAAGGTATGACTCTAGTGGAAGGGGACCATATGGCCACGACATTCTCAAAGGTATCCTTACTTTGTGTGGGAAACAAGACTAAACGCATTTTAATACATTCTCAAACTCAGTTTATAAATCTTTCCTGTACCGATGCCTTTAACAGTGTAGTCCTCAACAAGCAATTAAATGTATGTTTATTACTTCTTGCTTCAAAGATTGAGAACTGAAAGACAAAATGTGATTCGGAAACTGCCCTTGGTGAATAGTGAAGAGCAGTCACACAACCTCCCATGTTTTAACCACACACATTTCCTTCCTCCCACACAGTGTTATGTGACAGGGAACCATGGTCAACCCCTAACCACCCTCATCCAGCGCCTACTAGTCAGAAGGGCTGAACAAGGAAAGATCATGGCTTTGTACTATGTAGCCTGAACCAATGCACCAAAGGGAAGCTCTGTTTCACAGAATGGATGCACAGCTTCCTGGCAAACAAGCTTATTTTCAGATAACATCTGTAGAGAAGTCAGAGAGGTTACTTGATTTCCTGTGAGCCTGGGAGAATCTTACTGGGTATGA